AAGGTTACTCAACCTAAAGGAGCTGGAGGTCTTGGAATTAAAAGCGCCAAGGAAGCCAACATTGTTGCCATGACCAAACTTAATTGGCGTTTGCATAAGGAAAAGGACAAACTCTAGACCACTCTTTTTGGAAATAAATATAGTATTGCTGACCCTCATTATTCTTATTCTTTTTCAGGTTCTCCTACCTGGAAAGCAATTGGGAAAGGCCATAGTTTATTTTGTAAGGGCATCAAATGGATCCCCAAGAATGGTAAAAACATTAGTTTTTGGAACAATTATTAGGTCGGGAACTCCCCCCTTTTTTCCATCCTTTTTGGCCCTCATCAAAGTAATTATTCTTCAATCACTGTTGCTGATTATTTTCATGCAGGACCTGATGGTCATAAGCTTATTGGATATCAGCTACTTGAAGAAATTACCATATCTATTACTTCTATACCTTTCTCAATTTATCAAAGCAGAGATGATACTTTTGCTTGGAAAGATTCTTCTAATGGGAAATTTTTTGCATCATTAGCTTATGCTATTTGTAAGAATATTCCTCAAGAAGTTGTTAAGAAATACAATTGGATTTGGAGATCACCCACGATCCCAAAGATCCAATATTTTCTCTGGCTTTTATCCCACCAAAGGCTTAAATGCTTTGATCTGCTTTTTAAATTGGGGATCAATACCACTTCCATGTGCTCCCATTGCCAACATCAACATGAAACTGTTGAGCATATCTTGCGTTTTTGCCCTTTATCACAAGTCATTCTTTCTAACTTGCTACTAGATATATTCTCCCCACAACAACAACTGCTAAACTTTGTGGATTGGTTGTAATTTAATATCAAATGTTCGGTGCAAACAAACATATTGAATCTCCCTTGGAACATTATCTTTAGCTTTGCTTTATGGGGAACATGGCTGCATAAAAACTAGCAAATTTATAAGGATAAGCCGTACCCTATTTCAACTGCTCAGCAAATAATTAAAGACAGAGCTGCTGAGTATTGGAGCACTAGACCTCCATCCACTTATAATGTGCATGGTACAACATTTTTCAGATGGTCCAAACCTCCCCACCCCTTTCTTAAACTAAACACGGACGAGTCTACAATAGGGAATCCTGGATAGACTTCTGCTGGTGGTTTATTTAGGGATAAATGGGGAAATTGGGTTATGGGTTATACTAGAAAGATTGGATGGTCATCTATTTTGGTGGCTGAGCTATGGGCAATTAGGGATGGTCTCAGACTTGCTATTGATAGAAATATATCTCATTTAATTGTGGAGTCTGATTTTAGTACTGCAATTTGTTTATTATCTGAAGACCCCTCTGAGTCTCATCCCTTTAGTACTCTTATCCTTGACTGCAGGGACATGTTACAACAAATACCTCATGTTAAGGTTGTCCACGTGGTGCGGGAAGCAAACATGGCAGCGGATGCCATGGCAAAAGTGGGACACAATATTTTGGAGGATTTTGTTATTTTTGATTGTATCCCTCATTCGGTCAAATATGTATGTATTGCTGATATTTTGGGAATTGAATTTCCCAGAACCGCTTGATGTACTTATGCTTTTTATGTTATAATATTTCTCTTTGCTACCAAAAAAAAAAAAGCAAGCGGGTGAACATATCATTCAGAAAGTTGAATTATTTAATTGCTTGCCTAATTATAAGCGTGATTTTTTTTATGAAATAATTATAAGTGTGAATTAAGTGAATTCTCCTAATTTGAGTATAAGATAAGGAAAAAATGCATATTAATTTTAATTCTTAAAAAAATTGATATTTTAATTTAAATTATTTTAT